ACCGCGCTCAACGCTGGACAGTCTTGGAAGAGTTCTACTCCGAAGGAAAATTTCGGGCTATTGGGGCTTTGTTTTGTTTTTTAACTTTTTTTATTTTTTTATTGAGATAACAATAGGGGAATACAAAGACATTTAAATCTGTAAAACAATAAAACCAAAATTCTGTATCTTAGATCACATATCAATCATGTTTCTAATTACACAGTAGAACATGTGTGGGAGCTGCTGAAGAGCTATAAAGCGACCCCCGCAGTTCTTCAGGTAGAGTTCCACCCAAAGCTGGTTCAAAAGGACCTGAGTGCACTTTGTAAGGAAAGAGGGGTGTGTTTTCAGGCATACTCATCTCTTGGAACAGGGCTTCTACTATCAGACTATGTGGTTCTGGATTTAGCAAAAAAGTATGGGAGGACATCCGCCCAACTGTTGCTGAGGTGGGCCGTACAACAGAACATTCCAGTACTGCCAAAATCATGTCAGCCAGAACGTGTGGTGGAGAATGGGCGTCTGTTTGACATTGAGATTAGCGAGGAGGACATGGAAAGGCTCTCTGCTCTTGATTGTGGGGAGAAGTTCTGCTGGGATCCAACACAAGTGTCTTAAAGACAACTCATTGATAAAAACTTTTATTATTTCTATTTTTTCACTTGCAGAAGTTCCGAGGTTGTTCAGCTTTACAAATGTAATGGCTCTTTATTTCATGGTTAGCTTGCTGTTGTATCTTTTGTTTGATAATTTTAAAGGGAATTATGAGATACTGTCAGGAGTGTTTTTTAAGCTGTATGTCCAAACTGTTTACAATTTCTGATGCACCTCAGATGGAACAAAGGAGTAGAGTATGACTAATGCACAAGTACACTGCAGTTTCATATATATTGCCAAATTCTATTACACGAAGAACAGTACTTACATTTTACGCTTTTGAAAGAAGGACAACTCGTGCTAAAAGTGGTTTATTTTTATCGGTTACAAACAATAACAAAATAACATCACAATAAAATGTTTTTAATTAATTAAAAAAAAATTATAAGGCATTGAAAATGTTCATTTTCAAGTAATACCAGTAACGATTAAGTCTCCTGCTCTCTTGGGTGTTTAGACCCATTCTTGGTTTTTGGACTCTTTTGCTTATTGGTTGTAGACAATTCCAAGAGATTTTTATGACTCAGATGGTAATAAAGCAAGATGACTCTTCAAAGTGACCAAAGTCCCTTTACAGTAAAAACTGATTTTAAACAGCTGACGGTCTAAAAACGTAGTTAAAAATAAATTTAACAGATGATGTAAAATAAAATACCTTTAACTTCTTTTTAATGTGCTTTTGTTAAAAATATTGCATCTGAATATGAAAAACTGATGTGGCAGAGTGACAGAAAGTCTGCGGATATTCAGCTTTCTCACATTCATGAGATTTACTGCATAATATTCCCAGAGCTTAAGAAAATTTGGAGATTCTCCATTTTTTTGTCATCTTTGTGGGATAGCACATGCCAGTGAGAAACCGATCATGCTTTTCAACAGTCAATGGTCTCAGTGCAGTTCATGAAAAAGGTTTAAAACCAGTCAATGCACTTATTCCTTCACTTCACAGCAGTGCATCCTTTTTTCCCGCCACCAGTTGTTATGTACAGTAGTCCTCTTTTCTCTCTTCTTCCATCATTCATTCACTGTCAGTCACTCTGCGGGGCGCGACTCCGCATCAGACTCTTTGTGACTCCAAAGGAAAGCGAACCAGCTGGGTGACTGCTGCATCTGACGTGTTGTTCCTGCACTCTTCACCCTCTTCATCTGTAAGAGATTTAAGATAAGAAAAACACTTTAATTTTCCATTGTTTAATAAGTATCTTACAGATATTTAGTTTATAGCATATATTTCTTTGACAGTCCAGTTTCCTTACCCCTTTATCAAGGAGGATGTCAAACTCATCACTCATTCTCCTTAGCTGTCGACCATATTTCTTAGCTGCCCACAAAGCAGGAGGAGCCGAGCGAGATCTAGGCCTGAATGGATCACCTCCAACCAAATCGCCTTCATCTGCAGCCCCAGTCTCCAGCAGGTCCTCATCATTCATCGAAAGATTCCTGTGTCTCCCTAGTTGTTCTCCTACAACGACATTTGATATTGAATGACACTTGACTGATCTGATCAGACCTTACATATACATACAGGATACATTTAAAGTATTTCTTCATGTGAAACAAATTTGTTTCATTATTGGCTTTAAAAACTAAAACCAATGCCAACACAGAGTCTATTCCAATGAAAAATTATGGTTGAGACTTTGAGCAGTGCACTACATTCTTGTATTTGCTTGTAATTGTGGTCTGCTGCTGTGTATCCAGGATACAACAGAAATGACGTATGTTCTTGTTATTATCCTACAGGCCCTTGAGACTGACTCACCTTTCAGCCTATCAGGCACAGCGAGATCATGGTTTGTTTTCTGCGGTGATCCACTGTTATTTTTTGTCAGGTCCGAGTCCTCACAGTCTTCCGATGTCTCGGTGTCCGACTCATTGTCAGAGATACTGAACATTTGTGCCATGATTAAACTGCAAGTTAATAGAAAAAGTCGGTGAATTACATGTTCATTTATGCACATTTATATATTTGCGGTTTAAGAAAATGGAAACATTGACTACTGTACTAACTTTTTCTGTCTCTAAGCCATGGCTGTATGTTCTAGCTTATTCTGAAATACATCAACTAAGAACAGAGTCAGGATCAACCATATAACTATAAGCTACTGGTGAAGATGAAGCAAACAGTACAATACTTCTGGCAACACTTGCGCAGCATTTCACTCTTGAGCCACCGGCAATAACAATAACAAAAAACAACACAAAACCAAAAAACAAACAGTGTTATGGGCTGAACTCAGACTTTCCCGCCGCGACAATAGTGTAAACTGACACAGACATATTTCTCAGAGCTGATTTCAGAGAAATAAAAAGCATTATCCAACAATAAACATAACAATGACTGTATTACCAATACCAGGCTTTTTAAATTTAGTTCTGCAAATGCCCAACTACTTATATGTTTGTCGAGTTTCTTATCATGATATCAACCATAATTATTACATTTTAAGATAAGGTTGTATTCTCATACGGTCACAAATAAAAACAGGGATCAACGGGAAACTTCTGTTTACAACTTTGAGGCTCAGTGCCACCACAAAGCCTTAAAAAGTGGTTACATCGTCCGACGACCGCGGGTTACTAACATTTCAAAGTTTCAGTCCTACTTTGTAGTGTTTTCAACATCGCTTCGTTCATTATTTAATTACTAATATTCCAACTATCGAGTCAGATATCGAGTTACCTACCGATTTCTTGAGTCTGTCGGCGTCCTACGTACAGTCTTCCGGGTGATCTGGGTGTCTGGATGTTTGGACTCACTGGCCCTGTTTGGATTCCTGCTGCTGTCCTGACACGCACCCGTGTTATGTGGAGTAGCAGCGCAACTGCATTTCACTTCCAGCCCACACACAGTCCAGGATACTGAGCACTAAACTGGTCAGTTAGTGTTGCTATGGACAGTGGTCATCATTCAGCAATTAATGACACCCATAGCGCCATAGATATGCATATATATCTATGTATTACGCATTGTAGAATTGAAAATAAATAAAATGATAAGACGTTTGCTATTATGATAATGATGCAATAAAATTACTGGATACAATTTTAAGTAATAGTTCAGCAGTAATACCGGAAGTAAAAGCTCCAGTATTCCCCCCCCTCTCTCTCTCTCGCTCTCCGGGCGCTGTGTTCTCAAGAGCGCGTCGCGAGCAAAGACTGTGGTCGCGAGGTTATGGAAGATGGCGAGCGCCGAGACAGCGGCAGAGCACGAGCGAATCCTGCGTGAGATTGAGAGCACAGACACTAACTGCATCGGGCCAACACTCCGGTAAGTCTTCATTAACCGTACCGGAGACTACCGGGCTCGGGGTGTGATGTGACATTTTGGTTCAAAGGGTCCCGGAGGGGCTGTTCTCCTTGTTCCCTCAACTTCTCACTTTAGAGACTTGCCAGGAAATCTTCCATTCAAGTTGTCAGGCTGGTAAAGTAGGTGCTCAGTGGCGGTTTAGAGAAAGTTTTAGTTAGTATTCCTCTCACATGTCCCGCTGCACGGCTCCCGGAGAGCGGGCGGATGTTTGGGTGTAATGAATAACGCTCTTTATTTGAAAACAAACCAAAAGAAACGCGAGCACTGTGTTGTGTTGTTGCTGTCCATTGTATTTAAGGAAGTAACCCAGGCTTTTAACTTCTCAAAACAGTTGGCATTTAGCTTTTTCCTAAAATGTATTTCTGCGTCAGAGCTTGATGACACATTTGTTTTTATTGGACATGGATAGTTATGGGAGAAATAAGTTAAAAGTTTCTAATGAAAACCAAATTCAGTTGTCACCGAGTGAACATACTTCTTGTGGAGTTTCAACTTTTTAAACCAAATTGAGCTAACGTTACACTTGCAAACCACAGATTTCAGTTAAATGTCAGAAAGTCTGTCAGAAATGGTTGACATTCTAAAAAGGATGTTATGAGAGGAAATCAACAAGCCAGTTGTGTTTTAGGTTAGTTGGTTCAGCTTTAGTTTATCTTTCATTGCCTATATTTATTATTTTTTTCTCATTCAGTTATTTTTAAAGTCAAGACGTCATGCCTCAAATAAAGCTGTTTACAGTTTAGATCTGCAGTGAATTTGATCTGTGATGATTGGGCTGCTTAACAATCATAAGATTCACAATATCTTGAGCAAGTACACAGAATGTAGAGAGCATAATGTGCACAGGAAATAGAATTGTGCCTTTTCTGTTAACTTTCCACATAGCTGACCTGCATCTGTCAACTATGCTGCTTTGATACTTCTACCAATCACTGATTTAATCAAGCTCTTGTTACTTGGCGACTAGTTTATTTTACATGTTGTGTGTATAGTGAAACTGTGATGCTAATTTTGGTGCTAGCAGGGCACATTGATAACAGCTTCATATTCTCACACCCTCTGATGGGACTTTCATTAGCGAGGTGACATTGCAAGCACAGCCTGGCTTCCTAGCATTGGTTATGTGTGAATGTTTAGTCGATGAAAGTATCAACGGATATTTTCTTTCATATTTTGATGTACAAATCGGTCATCAATTGGATGGAGGGAGATCTGAATGTAAGATTGCAGTCACTAGAGAGGGGAGGTGTTTAAGTGGACTAAATAATCGAAGAGACATTTAAAAAAAATACAAGCATAAATAAAAAAATAAATCAATTAAGTAGGCGTGGTTGAATCATTCACGATATGATTAAAAAGATGGATTTTAAAGGGGTCATATGATGCGATTTCAATTTTTCAATTTATAAAAATGGACATCTTTTTGATTGATTCACAAGCACATAGTGAGACCTGTATCATTTCAAACTACCTTAGGTCAATTTTTTTTTAGACATTTAAAAAAAATACAAGCATAAATAAAAAAATAAATCAATTAAGTAGGCGTGGTTGAATCATTCACGATATGATTAAAAAGATGGATTTTAAAGGGGTCATATGATGCGATTTCAATTTATAAAAATGGACATCTTTTTGATTGATTCACAAGCACATAGTGAGACCTGTATCATTTCAAACTACCTTAGGTCAATTTTTTTTAAAATTCATGTTTACCAGTAGTATGTAACATATACAGCGCATATATCTCTCCTGCACTATTACCATCACTGCACATTAGAAGGACCTCAAGTAATGCAGAGACTTCCCATGATTCATACTGTAAGTTCAGGTTGTGTAGTAAAGCAAGGGTACATCACTTTTGTTTGCTAATTGGCTGTGCAGATATAATAGGCTGTGTTCTCTCAGTGTTTCCTTAAAGTACTACAAGGACAGTGGAGGGCCTCTCACATTCTGATGTGCTTTTAGATGCCTTGTGGTACAACACATTCCAGACAAGGCTCAATAAACTAACAAGCTAATCGATAACAGCATTTTTTTTAATGGTTGGCTGAAACTGAAGTCTGAAGTCTTTTTTCTTATCTCCTCAATTTAGATGTCTGCTTGAACTTTTTTAGTTGTTGCCATTTTTAAATGCCTCTCATTTTAAGCTCAGATGCATTTGACAGTGGTTTACTTTTAATCGGTTGACAAACAGGTATCTCTATTTTAGTACTTCTTTCTAAAGACTTTTGGTAGCACAGCTGCTAACAAATGAGACTTGTTTTTTTTAACCAAACAAACAAAAAAACAGTGTGTTTTGTTAGTAGAAACAGCGTAAATTGGTATTAGCATTTGTTCCATGGGCTATCTGTGTTATATTGTGTCCATGTGATAGTTGATGTCTCATGCAGCATGTTTTTCTTTTTCATGACTCTTAAATGTTTGAGAACTTTATTTGGCCTCATATGAAGACACATCTAACAGGACTTTTGGGGCTTTAGGTCTGAATTGTGTGTGTGTGTGTGTGTGTGTGTGTGTGTGTGTGTATCCGAGAGAGAGAACTCTGAGAAAGCCTGGGCTGGTCTGCCTTAGTGAGTCAGTTTCCCCAGACTGTGCTGCCTCCACTCCCGCTCAGCTCAGACTATAATTATTTGATTATTTTGGTCGTTTCATATAAATGGACTGGCTATGGCTATTAGAAATTGCTTTATGCAGTCTGTAGTGTACAAGTCGTTTTTATCGCTCTATAGAAGAAGTGAGTGTCTGTTTCAATGTTCATACACGTCAGGACTTGTGATTACATTCCTATGGTTTAGCCGTGTAGCAATCAGCAAAGCAGCATATTAGAATGATTTCTGAAGATCATGTGACACTGAAGACTGGAGTAATGATGCTGAAAATTCAGCTTTGTATCACAGGAATAAATTACATTTTAAAATATATTCAAATGGAAAATATTTCTAAATTTTACTGTTTTTGCTACCTTTCCAAGGTATCTAGGAGTATTAAAATTATTATGAAATGGAAATTCACCTTATTGTCTAAATACACATTTTTTATCTAATTGTGAACAATTCGTTCATGCAATTTTTTTTAAATACATTTTTTTATTAAAATGTCAGACTCATAATTTGATGTTCCGGTGAAATGTCAGACTTGTTGCTGCTGACATAGCTATGCTAAACCCACCCCTTACAATCAACTGCTAGCTCGCATTCAGATCTGCTTTCATTCAGTCAACAACTGATGGATAGAACCAAGTCCCATCCTGGATTTTATTTTATTTTTTCCCGATAACCTGTTTAACTCTGTTAACAGAAGAAATTATCTGTTGCTATTATACCTCGACTTTAAGATGGCACAGAAGTTTAGGGAGAGTCTTGCTTACGTAAACCCATTTCAGTCTGCATGGTTAAAAGTGAACAACTATTTAGTTATGAAGCTAAATCTTTTGCAGTTACAGATCCTGGCCTTTTATATACTTCTTCATATTATCAGTTTTGAGTGAAAGCAAATCCCCTAATTCAGAGGTTTTGAAACGGAGGGTAGCAGAGTGGTTGCAACATTATGAATATGAAAACATTTAGATGCATTTTGTCTTCAAGGAAAATTTACCAGAAATACATAAACTGCAAATGATCAAATATGTTAGTAATTCCTGTTTCTACTAATGAAGGAACATTATGTTTCCTGTAACACAATTGTTGCAGTTATTATGATTTAAAAAGAATAAAGACTACAGCTGCCACAAGTGTGAGTTTACCTGGTGAAATGTACAGCCATTTTAGTTCCCATGTAGCAATTTTTTTTAGCAACTTCTTTTTTTGAATCCATTCTGTCTGTACACCTCTTTTTGCTGATTAATCCTTTTTGTAAATGTTTGTTTAGTTGTTACTGAATGTTCATAGTTCAGTAATGTGACTCCGTACTCGTGCCTATCAGAAGTATATACCATTATTAAGCACTTAGAAGAGGAGTGACAACCATATTAAACTCATAAACTGCAATGTGAATGTGGCACTTAGAGCTCAAACATAAGAAAATCTGAAGGAATAAAATTTAGTCTTGACTATCAGCCATGAGTTTATTCAGTGTGTGTGCATCTCGGAGAACCAGGAATCAGTTTCTTGTCACTGTCACATGCTGGACCACAGTGACTTGCATGCTGGACACTTGACTGTTTGTTCTGCTGCATATACCTTCTCAGCTGTTACAAACTCTCTCTCTCTCTCTCTCTCTCTCTCATCCAGTTTCTCTTGTTTCTGTTTAAAAGTTCTGTCTATCTTCAGTGTCCTTGATTTCCTGGATTTTGTGTGGGTTGTTGTCTTGACCCCTGTAGGGTGATTAACCACCTCAAAACGGAAGAGAGGACTGAAGCTTTGGAAACGTGGTTCTTCGTTCCAATTATGGCAAGAGGAATGTTGTAAATATTTTGGACTCTTTCCTGCATCCACCTGAGGAATTTCGAACAAACACTTCACAGCCAATTATTTTGTTGGAACATTTCTCAAGGACTGCTTATTTAAAGACCAGAGGCTGAGAACTGTATCAGAGTTTCATATTCCATGGCTTGCATTAAAAAATGTAAAAAATATTCAGTAAAATGTTTGGTATAAAACATTTTATGCTTTGCTAGGTTGTTTAAGCTCTTTTAAGTCTATGTCTGCTTGATATTCTGGCTTGGGTTTGAGAACAAACTCCTAATCCTAGATATTAGTAATATTAATAGTGATGTGGCAACTAAAGTTATAAATTTTAACCTGTCTGGAAGCATCATAGAGCGCACACACAATGGGCACAGTTGGAAGTGGGCATTCATTCCTCAAGTCAGCAATCAGTTGTCTCTCCTCTTCTCCATTTCATTCCATTTACTTGCTGACACAGTTGGGAATATTCAGACTGGCAACTAATGACCTTTACAACAGAGCTGCAATCACACACATTTAACCTGCAAACAATACACTTGATGATGACGGAAATCT